TTATACCCATTAATTCCAAACTTTTTACCCTTTAATGTCCGGGCCCAAATTATTTACTACTCCTACCCATGCGGCCCAAACTATTTACCTGGTTATTCATTTATTCTATTAAAATAGCTCTTCTTTCTACACTGAGAATTTGGACGAGGGCACAACTTTAGGTTACCCCTAGTAGGTAGTTGATGACTCTATAGGAGCAGAGAAATTTGGGTGAAGACCCAATATTAAAGAAGGCTTGGTCTTAATTTTAGTAACTCTAGATCCTTGAATTATTTTTTTGTTTGCTACTTCTTGACTTACTTGTAATTTGTTCTTACAAAATTGTTCTTCCATTTCCCTTATATCCTTCTTCAAAAAGAAATTAGATCTGATTATCTGAGAAGTTGACCTCTGGCTAGATTTAATTCTGATCCACTTTTTCTTTATTGTTCTTTCCCTAGCTCTTGCTCTTGCCTTGGCTTAAAATTTTTATTTTGAAGATTTCTCGTTTGATTCAAAGTGAGTGCTATTAAATATTGCTTATAATACCTTCTAGAAGTTCATACTGGAATTTGATAGCATTTGGAGCTGATTTGAGGTGATTGAGTTGGAAATTTCAGTTGAAAATCGAAAAAGAACACAACTACCCAATAGTATACTGCTACGGTATATAATATGTTGTAGGAGTATATAGCTATACTGCAATAATATACTATTATAGTTTACAATATACTACAACGGTATATTGTAATAATCGAAGAAGAACACAGTTACCTAACAGTATACCGCTACAGTATACAATATACTATAGGAGTATATATTTATACTGCAACAGTATACTATTATAGTATACAATATATTGTTATATTATACTGTAATAATATGCCATATACTGTAACTGTATGCTGTAATAATATACAATATACTATAATAGTATACTTATTACCCGTAAATTCACTTGTCTTTTCTCTTTTAATTTGCTTTAAGCTTTTACCTAGCGTGAGGGGCAAATTGAAAATGCAAAATAAAATAAAATATCATAGTATGCTATATAATGTAACGGTATACTCTTACAATTAGATCCTTTTAGAATTTTTTGAAATTTTTATTGACAACTGATATTATTTCAGTTTAATAATTGAATTAAAATTTTATTAGCTCTTTGCATACAATTGTATACCCTGTTGGTATAGCTATGTACTATACTGGTATCATATGTTAGTTAATATTTTTTGGTTGTATTAGCTACATTTAATTGGTACACAATTTGATTTTTCTTTAGTAAAAATTAAAAAAAAAGAATAATAAAAAATAGTGAAAACAGTAAATGAAATTAGATTTTGAAGAGAAAAAGAATATAAAAAAAAGAAGTTAAATGAAATTAGAAAAGGAAACAAGAAAAAAATAAGAAGAAAACGAGAAAAAAGAAAAGGAGAAAAGAAAAAAAAAAAAAAAAAAGCATAAAAATAAAAAAGAATTGGAGAATAAGGAAAAAATTCCCCACAAAAATTACTATGGGTAGGAAATATAATTAGTTTATGCGTAGAAAAACAAATGGTAGATAAGGGTAAATAGTTTTGTTTTTGTGGGTAACTGTGTCAAAACCCCATAAACAAATGGGCAGACAAGAGTAAATAGTTTTGTTTTTGTAGGTAACTATGTCAAACCCCAAAAACAAATGGATATACAAGGGTAAATAATTTTGTTTTTGTGGGTAACTGTGTCAAAACCCCTTTAAATTAACAACTAATAAAAGGTCGAACAGATAGACCCATTCTCACCAAATGAAGACAATACACTGTTTCAACGATGTAAAACCCTGTCCTACACCTAGTGTTTGAACAGTAATATTGTGGTGATTAATAATACACGTTGTAACTAGGCCCTATTTAATTGCTTAATTGTCTCATGATGGAAGATTTTTCCAAAAATTTGATGGAAGATTTTTATTGCCCGTTTGGACATAAAATTTGATGGAAGATTTTTTCATTTTTTTTTTTTTTGAAATCAGCGTTTGTTCATAAATTTTTCAATTTTTACTTGAAAATGTATTTTGGAAATTTTCGAAATTTTGAAAAACTGCAAAAAGCTATTTTTCAAAATTTTCACTCAAATCACTCACAAAACTTCAAAAACAACCCAAACTGAAATTTATGTCCAAACACAACTCTAAATTTCACCATTTTCACTCGAAAAAAATTTTCACAATGTTTTCGAATTTTACGATTCTTATGTCCAAACGCCTACTTAGTTTCCACTAACACTTTAAAGTTTAATTCTCACTCTTTGTGAACACTAGTTTTGACTCTCTTCATGTATATACTGTTGTCGAACTTTTAATTCTACTTCTTTCACTAGAAAACAATAAACACTTAAACCAAACAATTATACAAAATGGAATTTCTTAAAATATATACATTAAACGTGGATTTCCATTGCATTTCTTTGTATTTCTGACAATATGTTTTTTGTCTTTTTGTAGGGAAATTGTTGAAGATTAGTTAGGACTTAGGACCTGCTTCCTAACTTAGGGTTGTTGAAGTGTGGACTAGTAGTTCAGATCTTGAAAAGTCTCTTAATTCTTTTTTGCCCTTTTGGTATTACTTTTTCCGTTTTAATTTAGATGAGTTAGTGTAACTCGGTACGGAGTTTAAAAAAAAAAGACTTTTGAAACGCGTGGTCTTAAAAACTTAAGGGGTAAAAGCTTTATGGGCCATGATAGTTTTGTGGTTATAAAAACTTCTAATTAAGGATAAAATAAGTAAAATGAAGAGTTTAAAGTTAAATTATTTCTAAATATAGAAATGTGTCATTTATTTTGGGACAAACTAAAAAGGATAGTACCACGGAGAGAGTACTAATTTGGGCAAGTATGGATCCTTGTATTTCTCTGTAATTTTAATTTCCCACTTCTCTAAACACTTCTACATTTATGGAATATGTTTGGTATGTAGGAAGTCCATGAAAATGTTTCACATGATGATGTTATTTTTTAGTTTTTGGTTACTATGAAGAGTATCTTTCCATCAAAAAGGGAAATATGACACACTTATGGACACAAGTCATTTTCTTTAAAACAATTACTCCCATTATTAATCTTTAATATATATTTTTTTAAGATTTTTTTTTTCCACCGATCAATCAAACACTATTTTCAATGAAAACAACATTATCTTGGAAAAACATGTTTCATGAAAATTGACGTGACAAACACACTAAATTGTGTTCACATAAAAAGTACAGCATATACGTCAGAGTCAAGTTCAACTCTATACCCCGTGTTCATCATTCACATTATATTGTATGAATAAAGTGTTTAAAATTAGATTCTAATTAATTATTTCATTTTTAGGGGTGCTTTGGACGTCACTATAGAGCAAATTTTCCCTAAAAAGAAAAACTAAAAAATAGCAAAGCAAAAAAATCCCATCATAAATGAAGCCAATTTAAATTGGAGGCCAATGGGAAATTCTGCTGGAGCTTTAGGAGCAAACAGAATGCATGAGTCTCCCCCGTGATAGCAAAACTTTTAGGGACCACTCTTCAAAGGCTCCATTTCAATCCCTTTTTGCTTGGTGCCAGCCAAAAATTTGGTTAAATCACATGTATAGCAGCTATTATCACCTTTTTTTTGACTGCCCATTAATTTTCTTAGCATAAAAAAGTTGCCTTTGCCTAATCTTTGGATGAGAGGTAGTCGAGGTGCCTGCAAATTAACCAAGGTAGCAGTTACCCGGTGAATTAATTGAGCTACGTGCAAAGCGCTATAGGAAGAAACAGTCACTTTTGTGCACCAAATTCTGCATGCACTTCATTAGAACAACTCAACATTAGTCGACATATTTTCTGCTTTCTATTTGAATTTTCAGGTTTCTTTCAGTTGGTTACAGTAAAAGCAGCAAACATGACATATTGGCTCCTAAACAAGAACTGCAAATAATGACAGTGCAGGTTGACAATAAATTTTTAATCAGGCAAGAGCCTAATAAAGACTATTCATTCATGTGAAGAGCAAAGCGCATAGTAGGTGGCCGTGTTTTGTTGGAATAGCAGTCCAAGAAGCATGTCTAATTCAGGTGAATTTGCAGAAAAGGGCCCTCACTCAGTATGTACAGCAGATGTTTTATATGTCTGAAAAGTAAGCTCAAGATATGAACACCCCTCCCCCCCCCCCCCCCCCCAAACCTTTTTTAATGATAACCATGGTATCCGGCCAGTCAACTAATTCCACAGGTTACTTGCCACCTCCCACCGGTATACCACTTATTTTTGCACAGCCATGCGTAACCTTATGTACCGTGAAGGAATTGCTTCCTGCATTTTTGGTTAAATTGCTAAATATATGATGTGGATATTTTATTAGATTTTTCAGCTACCTGTACTTGTAAAGGAGCTAACCTTTGCTCCTGTGCACCTATTTTGGTGTTTATTAATAAAATACCTTACTTATCAGGGAAGGAAAAACCTAGTGATAGAACACACTGATGTTCAAGGTTTAACAGCATGACCTAATATCGCAGAATAGGAACAAACATACTGAGAACTCTTCCAAAATGACTACCTTAAAACATTAGGTTTTACGGAGGAATGTCAGAACGAAAATAATCTGGAAATGTAAGTACATATGCAAGGGAAAGTGCTGAATGCGATGTAAAACGAAAAAATAAAACTGAAAACAGGAAATGGAAGGATTGAACATAGTCAAGGGAAAAAATGAGAAGCCAATGTCATGGCCCCAAAAATTCTGGAAGTATGATACAGCAGCGAGTACATAACATGCAGTTTTTGCGAACACCACGTCCACGAGTCTGGTATACAAAAATAGCTGCGCCTAGCTAGTCTTGTTCGAAAATATTGAACAAGCTCCATATCCCTCGGAAAATATTTTCCGTGAAGTTCAACTTTTATGTTCAAACTGATTCATGCTTTGAGGCTTGAGCTAAGCAAATCCCAATTCCACCCCCACCCCATCCCAACCCAACAACAAAAAATAATAATAATTCTACCAATACTCTTCAAGCTAAAAAAAGAAAATCATTTCATCATTTAACTGAATCTAATAGAAGAGTTCGTAACAGTATGCTATAATTTTTTTTACAGTTTTCTACATAAGCTAGATCGAAAGAAGAGATGGAGCAAAAAGTAGACTACTTGCATAACTTGAAACATGCCAATTGGCCATAGTAATGAGACAATAAGGAAAAATGGAGATATACCTAAAAGTACAAAAACAAAAGGATCAATCAGTGGGATGCAGAAGGTAGCTTCCAAAAATTCTTGGTGGCTACCAGGATTTTCTCCCTCACATGTGATTCAGGTTCTTTCTCATGAATTCTTGCCGTCCATCTTACAGCAGGAGCAATTCGGTCTACTTTGTCTATCACTTCAGGAGAGTCCCGAATTATGACAGTTCCTTCAGGCCGAAGCATTCTATCAATTTCTACCATCAAATCCACAAGGCTACACCTGAAAGAATGTACAAATGGTTCAATCATTATACATCAGAAAGGATTGGTCCAATATTTTCACCAAATATGCTGTATCAGACACACCTATCACTGTTAAATATATCACAGCATCGCATCTCTTTCTTTGGTATATCAGTTCTGTTATCTATTTCAGGAATGAGAGGGCAGGGGCAGAATATTCCCTATAAACAACTCTTAACACTCAATGTAACTTGTAGAGAAATGCATGGTCAATTACAATCTTTAGATTGCACAGCGCATCTCTTTTTAACTTCCTGCATGCTAAATGACCCTTAGGGATAAGAAGGCATTTCTATTTAACCTTTTTTTAAGAAACTTCTATGCTACAAACTGGAAAGGTAATAAGTTTACTGCATCATTTCCATGCTGTATCATCTCTATGCAGATCAATTATATCTTAGATGCTAGGAGCAGCTTAAAATACTTATCTTTTTTTTTTAATCAAGCAAATAAAATTTCATTAATGATTGGGCAAAGACAAAAGCGACCCAACGCAAGATCAAGTAAATAAAATGTCAAACTTGATCAACAGATAGCATTAATGTTCAACCTTGATAAGTTATTCAAGGACAAAAAGCTAACTACTATTAAGGTTGTCTGAAAGTCCAAAGACACCATTGAAGAAGGATTTATCTTTAAGAAAGTAAATGGAGTGTATATTCCAAAGGAAAAATGCTCTGCTCTTGAGTTGAAGTTTGATCAAAGATATCACAAGTTTTTGCCTGTTAGTTTTACCAGGGAGACTACAACATCCATTGGTTGATGTCAGACATGGTCGATAATGAGCTATAATCCACAAGTTAAACTTAGATTAAGGTCATTTTCAAAATCTCATTAAGTGTAAATGGTAAAAGCATAATTCCTCACTGTTATCACCTAGATGTGAAATGGTTGCTAAACTTTATGTCAAATGTTGATCCAGTAACACCAGAAATTCAATGTCTACATGCAAATAGCTATAAAGCTTCATTAGCACCTACGAGTATGACCTAGTGGTCAATGAAGCTTAGAACGGACCATGGGAGACTAGGGTCCAAATCCTAGTAGAGGCAAAAAAATTTAGGTGATTTCTTCCAATCTCTCTAACCGTTGATGGACAAATTTACCAGATACCTATACTGGTGGGAGATAGCTGGTATCCAGTGGATTAGTCGAGGTGCGTCAAAGCTAACCCCGGCACTACCTTTTTAAAACAAACTATTATAGTTCATTAAAATTTGCAAATAGCTGTTGTATTATGTTGGTTCACCTGCTAAGATCATTTTTCTTTGGAAGGAAAGTAAAAGCATCTAGCAGATTGCTATTTTGTGGTGGTGTGTGTGAGGTCTTCAAGTCATATGATCATGATTTGAAGTAAGGAAAACATGAAAGTCTTGCAAATTTCAGTTTTATCATGCTGGGTGCTATGTCATCTACATAAAGTTCCCTTTTATTTGAAAATCTAAAAGTTCCAGATAAAACAATGCATGTGCACCTAAGCTGCCTTGAGAAAATAGCTGGGCTAACTGAATCCTTCTAAGTTCCTTGTGTTTATCTCCCTGATAATCTAATTTGTGACCTTTCATTGGGCGTTCTAATGTCCTTTTTTTTTGGGTTATATGATGTAAGTAAAAAAACAATCATTTGCTCGCTCCTTTTATTTTGTTTTCTTCCTTAACATTGACTTTGCAATGGCTATAGTTTATTGATTATTTTATGGGAAGTTCAAAGTGGAGAAGAGGACTACTTAATATTAGAAGTAGTAGTTAGGCAGTTAAAATAGTCTTCTATCTTTTGGATGTTTAAGATTATAGATCAATTGCTGTACTATATTGGGCTATTGGCATAATAATTAGTGCTATCCATGTTTCAGTGCTTCAATTAGAGTACATCATCTTTTTGATGTATTTGTGTTGGATCTGAAGCTACTCTTATTTTACAAGTATTTGCTCAGATGCACCAAGAAGATGCTGCTCTTACCTTCCTTTAAACATGTAGGGAGGCAAGGAAATCCACAGACATATTCAATGCACACCTACACTTCTAATTCTCAAATTATCTATTATTTCTCTTTCCATAATGTCCTAAAGATACACAGGTATTCTATTCAACGTGTCTGAAGCCACATTTTTATCGTCCTCTAGCATGTCAATGACTCTTAAGTCTTAAGCTTTCTTGGGTTTCTACGTTCTGCACTTTTTGCAATTGACCTACATCTACTCCTCGATAATTTAAGCTTTCTTTCTTCACGTGTTTTCTGTCTTCTAGCATTTCAAAGACTCCTAAGTTTTCTTGGGTTTCTAAGCTATAACCGTTGACACCTCTTCCTCCCCAATTTAATGCTGTATTTGTTTCAAATCTCCAGCCGGAAGTTGTAGCAGGAAGTATAATCAAAATATTGGTATTCAAGTCTTCAAGATTTACTTATCTTTCATAATTAAAATATTCTTTGGGAACCAAGTCGGGAACCAGCATAGGTGGTGGAGGCATCAGCATAGGTGGAAGCATTGCCAAAGATGGAGTTTTCCTTGGAGCCAGAAGGAGGTTGCAGTGTAGGTGACCACCAAACTTTGAGCAAGGTTTTGGTGTTCCCGGAATTGGGGGAAATTTTCTGTTTTGTTCCTTTTCATATTTTTCCTTAATTGGATAGAAAAAAATCGGAAAGATTGTAAGTGTTGGACATGTGGCATTTAAGTAAGGACTCGAATACAATTTTTTACTGTTCACGCGCTTGACTTTTTTGATTCCCATGGGCATGGCACATGTCGTTTTAGGGAGGTAATCATTCCACTTTTTACAAGTAGTGGCATCAAAAAGGATGCGCATGAAGAGAGTGTAAGAGGGAATTTGTTGATAAAGGGCGCGTAAGAGGGATTTACATGCAAGTTTGTGGTAAAGTGTGTATTAAGCCTATATTTAACAGTACAAGTATAATGGTATTGATCCAGCACCAGGGTTTAAATTTCGGTAGAGGGAAAACATGATTTGTTTTATCCATATAAGCATTGGTGGACAAAGTTACTCAGTACATGTGTTGTGCTGTGGGAGGTAGCTGATATTCGGTGGATTAGTCGAGGTGCACGCAAGCTAGCGCAGACACAATCAAATAAATAAATAAGTACAGTGGTATCCACACATATGATGGTCTTAACTTTAATCTTAAATATTATCACCACGGATATCCAACAAGAACAACCATGGATATCCAATATATTAGAATTTACTAGATGAAATTAATCACATATAGCCGAAAATATAGACAAATATGTGCCATTTGCAACGAAATATCATGAATAATTGATATGGAAGCATCATATGTTGAAAAACTTGATGAAACTAACTGCTTGGACTAACATAGTTTTTGTATCTCTAAAAATTACCCATTACTCAAATATCACATAAGAATGGTTTCTATCGACTATTATAGTCCAACATACTTCTTCATTTTCTTAACTAGAAAAGCTGCATTTTCTAAAAATAGGTGAGAACTCTCATATACAAGTCCAGAATTGCTAACTCAGGGAACATCATATTGGAAATATCTAATTATGGACAATCAGAGATAGAGAGCATCGAAGAATTGAGAAAGGTTAAACATACCTGGTCTTTCCAGAAACGGGATCCTTTATGAGAGATTCTATGGCTCCCACATGAATCAGATCATAAGTCCGAGGGTATGTTGAGAAAGGCTCACACCTGTGACACAGGCGGTAAATGGAGTTTATTAGTTGAAGTGAATAATCCATCTGTCCATCTTTCCCATGACTCTCTAAGTTCTCGGATTTGCAAACCATTAGTGGATGACTCTTATTGTGAGGAAAGAAACTTCCAGACATAGAGATAAGAAAGAGAAAAAGATTTGACAAAACTCGCTGTCTAGCAGGTGGGATTAAGAAAAAAAGAAAAGAAAAAAAGAGACAATGATCCAGAGTCCAGCTAACCATTTGTATAAACTTTTAAGGATGACTATCAAATATGTGATACAGAAATTCTCGACCTACCAGTCATGATAAACTCCAATAAGGCCTCTGTCAAAAATCACATCAAGTGTTAAAGGCTTATGTGCTGGAACAACATTCATCACCCAGATTGGATCTGATGATAACGCTGCAGCAAATCCTCCGAAAAATGCATTCATGTCCATGACATTGCGAACTGATGAAGTTCCTAGTTTCAAGTTCAATGAACTTTTATAGAATGCAACTCTGCGTGCCCATCTTCTTGAGTCAGCTTCAAACACATCCATTCCATTTTTAGTAACAATTGCCCTAGCTGGAGCTTTTGTCAGCCGCGCCGGCCATTTTGGAATTTTCCCAATGGCATATTCTCCTTTGACAGATAAAGTCCTACTCACACATTTTTTCAACTTGAAGTACCTGCAAATTAATTTGAGATACAAAAGTAGAGCTAGTTATTTAAAATGCTTCCACCAACAGTATGGTTGACAAGGTAAAAGCACCATAAGTTTGTTGGAGATTATAGCAAAGATGTAACTGAAGAACATGGAAGGAGAAATAAAAAAGAACAAAAGAAATGCATAAATGAATCACCATGCAGCACTTGGGTCATCCGTGTTATCGCACAGTTCAAGCCCAAATTCATTTTGATTAGGAAGACATGAATCCCCAAGAGGCTTTTTCCAGATGACAGTGTTTCCATCAACAACAATCAGCTCATAGCACAACGATCTGGCCACTGTTTGGAGATCCCCCCACTCCTTATCTTGCTTGGGCCACTGAACAGGAGGACCAGAAATAACAAGGTAGCCGCCGGGGCGGAGTAACCGGTCAACTTCGATGAAGTATGTTGCATCTGCATGGCAACAATTCTTCTGTCAGGGTCTCAGACAGCAGGTATATAAAGCATGCTGACAATGACCATCGAACTCAGAAAACTCACTATATGCAGTAAAAGGAATCAAACACCGTGAACAATGAACCAAATCAAACGAGAAGGCAGGAAAAGGAAGCCTGCGCGTCCCAAGCATCGCAACAAATGCGGGTATTCCTCGTTCCAAGGCAAACTGTATTTGTGATTTATGTGAATCTCTTGGAGCAAAAGACAGCGTCAACATGTCTTCGGCAAGTAGGTAGCCACCAAAACTGGCAACCTGCAGCAGGAACGAATGTTCAGATACCCAGGAACATTAGTACAGATTCTAAGGAACCGAGCAAGAACATCATACCCCACATCCCATATCAAGGGCAGTCCTCAAAACTCCACCAGCAATTGGAATGTACTGTTTAAGCTTCTCGATATACTGCTCTGCCCCATCAGGAAACATAGTTCCACCACCAGGGAAGATAAAATACGGCCCTTCTTTTTTCATCCATCCTTGGTGCCCTTTCCTGTCAGCTATTTTATTGTAGGGCATATTCTCATGCCATATCTGCGAAGAAAGGGAAGGTTTATTGTGACCATGATTGCAATAATTAAACACTCCAAAAAGAAGTGAAAAATGCAATTTTCAATGAATATGGAGCAAGTTATTAAGAACTGCCACCAAAAGAGGCCCACAACTACAGATGTAATGCAACAATTTAAGCCGAATCTAAAAGAAAAGAAGAACTAAATTCTTTTAACAAATTGAAAGGCTAAATTACTAAGTCAATTGCCACCAGGTCCAAGATTAGGGAAAAGCCACTATCCACGTTAATCTAAAAAGAAAAGGGATGTACAAAAGGAAACCATTACAGAATCCATCCAATGAAACTACAACAAGCAGCACTACGAGTATTCAAGCAAGATCATACATCATAAGGCACTGATGAGACTAAATCAAAAGGCAACTTAAATGTTGTTCCACGCAGCTAAATCCAGCTCATCTAGACTGAAACAAACCAATCTTGTGATATCACCACTCACTTAAAATGTTGCACACCTAACATAAATAAATAAAAGTGTCTCTTGTAACAGCTTAAACTTTTAGATTAGCTATTCACATTTCAACATGGCATAAAAACAAGCAGAGCTCCTCGGTTCGATTCTCACAGCAATCCATCAACAAACATTAAACTCAACAGTAGCGCCACGTGTTGAAGCCTAAAATGATAAATAAAAAGTCTTTATTCTACTAACAGCTTCAGACATTTCAAAACAAGCTTCTGGGCTTCAGAGGATTGATTAGCTTCAGATCAATTATAACTACTAAAGATTCATCTTTTCGTATTTACCTTGTGCAAACTGTCAGGCCAGTGAACAGAGACGCGGTAACCTTGTGGGGGTGGAATCAAACAAAGAGGGGTGTCCTTAGGCAAAGGGCAATGCCTTTCCCTATAATAATTCATCTCTCTACTCAACTGGCTATTTAATCTTGGATCCTCACAAGGCATATGATCCACATAGTCTGCTGGGCATGCATCAATACCTGTTGTCTGTCTCCCTGACTCCACCTATTAATGATCCCACAAATTATTAAAACAGATCTAATCCAAACTGAACTGAAAGTATAACTATATGAAATTGTACCTGTGCGACAAGGCGACTGCGCTGACGTGGATCCCCAGAGGCTGAACGAAGCAGAGACTGACGCCCTGAAGCAGCTAAGGAATCACCCAAAGGGGTACACAAAAGAAGGAAGAAAATTAACACTGCTGCAAAGAAAGCTGCTGATACTAAATCAAGAAGACGCCACTGTCGAACATTTCGCTTTGACGATGGTAGATTCAAGTGACCCATTTTCACTAGTAGCAGTTAATAATAGAAACCTCAAGATCCAACCGCACACACACTGACACACAGAAATTTATGCATGCGAGATGGAAATTCGAAGATCTGAAGCATATGTTGAAGTAGATTTGTACTGCTTTTTGAGGTGAGTGTTGTGCTTAAAGGAGCTCGCGGAGAGAGAGAGAGAGGATATTTTTATTCCTTTAAAATTCGGCCATTTTTTATGAGTTAAGGACTAAAGAGTAGATATGGAGATCTATGCCAAGGTATTTTCTTGGTATGTTACATTTGCCTCCCCCATAATATGTCGGTAATTGTATGTTAACTCTTGTTTAGTAGTAAGAATTCTAAAATAAATATTTATTTTTATTTGTTACTTTCACATATCAAAAGAAAAATAATTTATTTTTCTTATTTTCCTCTTAGCATTTATTACTCATTCCAAATCCATTAAAACTATACGCCAATTAATATGAATATCATAATAAATTATACACTTTATTTATTATTTATTATTTATTAGAGGATGTACAAAGTCAATAGTGGACAAGTAAAAGTGAACGGAGGGAATACTTGCTAACACTCCCATTGCAATCATATTAGGGATTGAAATTACACATTGCTTAACAAATCAAGAGAGCGTGATGGGAAAATGAGAAAAATGACTCTTGAAATGGACCACTTTAACTTGGCTATTTAAGTGGTGAGTGCTAGAACTTAAAATCAAACTAACATCTCAGCATAAACTTTAGAATTTTTACTGCATGGTTAGAAATTGCTCAACATAAAAAATAAAAAATAAAAAGTTAAGAGTCTATAAAAGTTTGAGAGTAAGTTTCTTAAGGATGAATTCGTTCAACTTCACGTCATACAAAATAAGTAACATTTTTTATAAAATGAGTGATCACCAAAGTTCACTTGGCGCGAGCCTTTTGATGCCAAGTCATAATTCAGAAAACATAATTCGATGAATAAAAAAAACTAGGTCGAGGATCCAGATAAACTGTCGGTGGTTATTACTTTTATCATTTGTGATTGTCACAACTTCGCGGCGACAGGCCGGACTCACGGTTGGAGGGGAAGAAAAGTCTTAGTTGCTTCAAGTCGGACTAGCCTAACGGAAATCTCATCAAAGAAAAAGACATGTATAATCATACAAAGGGAGGCAATATTGAAGCAAAACACACTCATCAAAGTGTCAGTAGGTTAACCTCAAACATTAACTCCCACCAACCCAAACAGCATAAACTCGAAGATTAATGACCATTTATAATAGCCTGTTTGGCCAAGCTTCTCTGAAAAACAAAAGTGTTAATATACAAAGTTGAAGTGGTTGGGCAAGTTTTTATACGAAAAAAAAGTGCTTTTAAGTAGAAGCAAAAAAAAGTAATTTTTCTCCAAAAACACTTTTTTGAGTAACACTTTTAAAAAAAAATACACTTAGAAACAGTTTTAAAAGCTTGGCCAAACACTAATTGTTGTTTAGAAGTGTTTTTTAAGTAAATTAACCAAACACAAACAACTTCTCACAAAAAATACTTTTAAAAAAAGCACTTCTCGAAATAAACTGATGGCCAATGAGACTATAAGTCGTTGACGAATACAATAATAGGCTAGATGGAAATATGGAATGTTGTATCTTAAATTTTAAAGGGAACCAAAAGAACAAGGTAGTAAATGGATTAGCATTCATTGATGATGACACATCACCAAGAAAGGTTGCAGGAAGTAGATCAGGCAAAAAATATATACTTTTCCATCATCTGGTAAATCTATAATATGAACAGCAATCCACTATTATCCTGAAAAACTTCTCAATCCAACCTCTTTCGACAATGGTCAACTTCATGCAACAGACCTAACTTCATATTAAGGCAAACAAAACTGCTACCGCCCTCCTTATTCATTTTCAATGTTTCCTTGAGGCTCTAAGGATGTGGTCATGCTTGAGAAGGTTTGCTCTCAAAAGCATTGATCTGACATCCCGGTCGAATTCCCTGCCTGTCTGCAGCACCTTCTGAAAGGTTGCATTTCTCTGATCAGCATGCCGTGCATATAAAATTTTGTTGTGCGAGTCGATTCGAGCCTGCAGGATAGTAACAATCATGATCTATACCCTGAATTAACTAAACAATAACAAGGCTTTCCACACAGAAGATGGGTACAAAAGTACATGTTACTGGTCCATCACCTGTATTTGGTTGTCAGTGATCAAAGCTTCAAGTTCCTTCTCCAAACCTGCAACGCTCGTCTTGAAAGCATTGGCCATCATATTCAAATCAACCGAGACAAATGGGTGGGTGTACTGGATTAAAGCTTTGTTACGGATTTGATCATACAGCGTCTCGACATGGTCATGCAAATGGATGTCAAGCAACAGATTTGCTTTAAGATTTCCTAGATACTCCAGACAAGTAGCATAGTGACTGCAACATAGATAAAAATGAAGTATATTAGGGGAAAGGGGAGTCTGGAAAAATCAATTTCAGAACACAACAACTCCAGACATCGGCATTTCATTCGATTTCAAATTCATACGATCATTTTAGTTTGAAATGACATAACAGTTCGAAGGTAAGGAAAAGAGAAGCTTATCAAATTACTCACACAAAATGTTCAGATAGGCAGGATAAATCCTCCACATCTCTTCTAGGATATAATCCATTCTCCTGAGTGCTATCCTTCATTTTTTCCCATTAATCCAAGGGTAATAACTGGAAAAGCAAGTATATCTGCCACATCCTTGGTATATACAACAACTACTACGCCCCAAACCCAAATTAATCATCAACTTCCATTCCAACCATTTGGGCTTATTTCATTCCATTAGTTCATAATTTGTCATGTAGAGAAAATTTGGGATTCTATCATCTATCTTATACAAACCACCTCTAAACCATCTTGTGTGTATATCAATGAAATACATTTACATGTCATAAAAAAAGGGTTGAACGGAGGTAATACACTTTTCTTTCGTTAGTTCAAACAATTCCAGTTTTGTTTATAATAAGCAAAGAAATCTTATTGAAGGTGATCAAAGAATAGGTATAACCGTCTCAGTGCTCACTTAAACTTTTATCCTTCCATCCACAGTAGAAACATGACCAGACAATGGTGGAAAAGGTCAAGTTGCTGATTTCATGCATAAAATATCAGGGGGTGAACTTGAAAAAGGATAAACAGGACCATTGGGTAGCTCTAATTAAAAGTTCCATGTGGAACTCAGCAGCCAATACAAATACATCGAAAGGCATTTTCTAACGAACATATCATACAGATGGCAGACATGACTAATGATGTCTAATCCACTGACACCTTGCAAAATAAATCTAAATCATAATACATTCCAAGTTACCTTGTGTAGAAATCATGAATGAGCTCCCTTATCTCAGGTACCAGCTCCAAGAAATTCCTGAAGTTAATATTGTCAATAACTTTGCTCTGCCAAACAAAATCATCTGAATCAGCAAGTTGCATCGTAATTATATCATGCAGCTTCAACAATAAAATCACTTAAGAACGAAAAGAAAATTGTATTATTGCCTTCAGCTCTGCTCGGTCAAAACTTGCAAGTGCACAAAGTCCACCATAAGTAGCAACATCTTGTGGTGCAATAACTTCAGTGTAGTTGTTACCTAATTCTGGACCAACTTCCAGGAACTGCAACGACCCAGTGAAATGTCAAATAAGTAAATGAAACCAAAGGACCTAAAATCCTTCTGTGGTGCCAGTTCAATCTAGGTAACAAGAACCGAATAACAAACACATGGTAATATGCTATGAACTGCAACTGAAAATAAAAAAATAGAAGGCAACTGAGCACAAGTTCCTCAATTGACATTAACAATTTTAAAAAAATTCCTCAATTGACATTTACCAAATGAAAAACTTAGTTGAGGAAACTCTATGCACATTATCACGATTGATGACGGTAAAGGCACTTAACTACCAATTCAAGACTGAGCTACAACTTGGGGTAGGCCTAAGTGAGAGAAGACCATCTTCTTTTTATTGATGAAGCCTAAGTGAGTACAGACTATCACAAACCTTTCGAGCAGCAAGCTTATACTTCTTTGCCTCCAAGTTAGCCAACCCAGCAGCACAACGAAGTTTTGCAACTGTAAGACTTTCCAGAGCATCTTGGCTCTGCTCCGCCTTGCTAACATAGCTTGCAACGTGTGTGAACTGGCCCATCTCAATGCTGACCAGAATTGCATTCAAACACATATGAATTATGTGCTTTGCAGTCGTGCAATAATCACGTGTACGAACATAATTCTTAAATGCCTCTCCAAGCTGTCCATGTGCATAGTAGAAATCTCCAAAATCGTTGTATCCCATCCTAATGCTCTCTTTGATCAGATTTGTCTACACAGAAGGAGAGCGAGGGAGAGAGGGAGGTTACATGAGTTCCACTTAAGCAACAAAATTTGATATATATAAAGTGAAACAAAGTGAAATAAAATAATTACAATGATGCAGTTAAAAAAGAAAATCTAATGGAAAGGTGCAATGGTGTGCCAAAATGAAGAGAAAAGTAGTAATGAATGGCCGAATGGAAGTAAGCATGCCCAATAAGAAGGAATTCTTATGTGTCAAGTTATCTCACGAAATATGTCAATATGCCAGATCAATAATTTGTCAACTTCTGAAACAGCTATGAGTTAAAGGGGATATAGTAGTAAGAGAAATGAATAGAACGCGAGACTGTTCAATAAGTTGTGAGATTGAAGTAGAAGGCATTAAGACATCTCTTTAGTTTCACTAGTATTTTTGGTGAAAGCAGAAAATACCATCTTGTATTTATGGTTCAAACATGGTGGAAGATGATGGATGCATCAAGAAGAGTAACATGCAGTCATGCATGTCACCCTTTTTTTTATGACTTGGTGTTTATTGATGAAAATATAATCAACTTATCAAAAGAAAAAAAGCAATTGGCCTGATCTAATAAAATCTGAGACAAGCTCACTTTGCAGTAAAAAGAGTGGCGTAATCTGTGTTTCCATAAAACGGTAAAAGCAGAAAGAGAATTCTTCAAAAATTACATTTGATTCTCCCAAATCCATCTCACTCAAGAACTTCCAACCATATTGATCAATCTGAAACCAACTTGGCTAGAACCTTTGACTATTCACTTTATTTTCCCTTCGAGGAAATTTATGGTGAGTGTATAGGTTACAAAACACAGCATCAAAATGAACCCAACAGCGGCATTAGGTACAAAAGCAGGTCAGACATGAAGTTTCTAATAAGATACAGGGCATAACACAATGAGGATACAAGTTTACAAACTTACAAAAACAAGTCTTTTTTATTGTCGATACACAAAATAGAATGCATGTATATGTATTCTTATTGCAAGGATAGATCTCCTTAACCCCTCCCTTATTTTTAACTTTTACTCCTCTTCCGCTGTCAATTTCCATATGTTCTGAGCACTTTCAGAATTTTCATCTAAAGTAGCAATACATCTTATTCCTATTAAAAGATTATCTCACTAAATATGTGATACGCACAGAACAATGAGAAAAAATTGAGAACGGCCAAGCAGGTATCTAACCAGTATCTACTGGGAATTAAAAATGTTTCATAAGGATACAACAGCCTTCTAAAGTTTCCATACTTCTCAAAGAATAATTACTAACCATCATGTTTTTTTTTTTCTTGGTAATGAATTGGACATGATTTCCTCATTTTATTGTTATAAGTCAAAATTTCATTAGCACAAGTCAGAGTCAAAATTCTGTACATTACACATGGTTGCTTACAAGGAACTATTACTAAGATATTTAGTGGGCGTTTGGACATAAGAATTGTAAAATTCTAAAAAAAAGTGAAAAAAAATTTCAAGTGAAAATGGTATTTGAAAATTAGAGTTGTGTTTGGACATGAATATAATTTTGGGTTATTTTTGAAGTTTTGTGAGTGATATAAGTAAAAAATTTGAAAAATAACTTTTTGGAGTTTTTCAAATTTTCGAAAAATTCCAAAATTCATCTTCAAATAAGTAAAAAAAAATTCGCAAAAAACTGAAAAAATTCTTATGTCCAAACGGGCAGAAAACCTCCCCGAGTGGCCAATGTATCATGATGAAAAAAATTAGCTCAACAAGCTTACCCCTTCTATATCCTATCAATTGCTCATTACTAACGCTAAACCAAATGGATCTACCTCTAAGTATGCACTATAATTGAGCAAGATAAAACTAAAAGAACAGAGAGAGCCCCATAAATTTACCTTGATTAAGAAAACAAATAAAATTCAAAACACGCATTAGCTGCCACTTCTCTAGTTCCCTCCGACCTCCCTCCTGAAATTCAAACTATGTAACCGGTGTATTTTCACTATCTTAATATGACGAGAACAGCAACTTATATTACTTTTCAAGCTGTTTCCGAATATCTAAATTTAAATTGAAAAAAATTATTTGATCTAATCAGGTTTATAGAGAATAAAGACTTTGTTCAAAGAAAGATACCCTATAAGCGTTGAGTTCGTTCTCAAGCTTCTCTTTCCTCAGCTCAGCCCGACGATCCACAGCATCGGACCAAGCAGGGTCCGGCCCATAATTAGGGCCTAAACGTCCATCAATCTTCTGTACAACCTCACGGAACAATTGCGTGTTCTCCCCTTTCTTAATCTCATCATAGGCCATTCTCAAAGCCTCCAATTGCATTGAAGCATTGCCACATCGATCAGCTATGAAGAGAAGCCTCATAATTTTTGTTCGGCCGCTGTATAAGGCGGCGTACAACTCAATATCCAGCTGCTCGCCGCTGATAATCGGCCGGTGACGCTGCGAGGTCTCATCGCCGTTGGCGTAGATCTCGTCAGCTATTTGCCCTAAATCCTCGTCGGGTTCCATCGGAGATTAATTTCTTGAACGTTCGATCGGAGCTAGGGTTTCTACTCTCTCTCTCTCTTCTTCTCACCACTTCGAGGAGCGACACTGAAAAAAAACTTAAACTGAAGTGTGACGTTCACTAATTTTGTTTGAGGAAGTATCGGGCCTTTAAGCCCATGTCGTAGTACACATCGGGCTGCGTTCCTACTGTGGCCCAGTATGCATATCTGGTTTTTTTGGGGGGAAATTACGTCAAAATAGCACCGGCAAGCCAGTTTTCGAACTGGTAATTGAAAAATAGTCACTATTTTATTATAACACAGAAAGTTTCGACATAATATATTGGAGCAACTGTGTATGAACTTCTAGCATATTATGCTGGAACTCCAGCACACGGAAAGTTCCAGCATAATATACTGGAGATTGGAGTACCTGTGTATGAACTTCCAACATATTATGTTGAAACTCCAGTACACAGAACGTTCCAGCATAATATACCGGAGATTGACGCACCTGCGTATGAACTTCCAGTATATTATGTTGGAATTCCAGCACATTATGAAATTCCAACATGTTATGCTGCAAATTCACATGTAAAAAATTCGAACTCCAACATATTATGCTGGAACATTTTTCGAATTTTGAACAATATTTTTGTTCATATTTATTTTTACATGAAAAGTGGTTAAATTTTGATTAGTTTGAAACTGTGGTTGTTTTTCCAGTACCACTTGTAAATTTGGCTATTTTTTAATTTCACCCGAAAATTACGCGATACATCAAATATTTACACTGTATTTATAATTCTTAGCTATACTTTCAGCAAATTTATAGCTATATTTTAATTCTATAGCAAATCCATGAAATAAGAGATTAATTGTTTTGAACTGAAACAAGAGAGCAACAAGCTCTCGTAGCTCAGTTGGTTAGAGTGCTGACTTAGTTTGTGGAGGTCTTAAGTTTGACTCTCGACAAGAATATTTTATTTTTTGTATTTATGTATTTCGCCTAAGTTGTATTCGTTGCGCAAACATATTGTATAATTTGTATACACCCTTGTATACAATCGATACAAGTTGTATCCTTTGTATACACCCTTGTATTTCGCCTTGGTTACAACTGATACATAATGTATTCGTTGCACAAATAAATACAATTGCGCGAACGAATACAATTGATACACGTTGTATTCGTTGCGCGATCGAATACAGTTGATATATGATATATTCGTTGCGCGTTTGAATACATGTGATATAAGTTAGTAACAATTGAATAGTAGTTACGAATAGTAATTAGACAAACTATAGTTATTAGGCTCTAGACTATAGTGGTTTATGAAAATTTCTCTTTTTTTCTATTTATTTTAAATTTCCAACAAGAGATTATATCAATAACATCTATATCTCTATCACAAACAAGTTGGAGTAGACTATATGAATCTTGACAAACAATATTGCTCAATTAAAACTTATCTTAAACAAATATTATATAAAACAAAAAATAAAATTTAAAATAAAAAATTAGCCTCTAAACATGATTAATTATTAAAAAAATCTTCATTTTATTCCAAGGGAGGGATCAAGGACAATTAACAACGGATAATATATTCCCTCTATAACAACACTCCAATAGGTACAAACTAGCCTCTAGTAATATATGAGCCACAAAAAGTTATACTCACCTTCATCACATTTGGTATCTCTCCCTATCTCCTATTTACTCCCATAATCCATATCAATAACGTTATATGTTAGAATCAGTGTTTTTAAAGGCGTTTCGGGGCGAGTCTTAGGGCGAGGCGCAACAAAAATGCCCTGAGGCGATGGTGTGGGGTGAAAGTCTAAAGAGGCATACGTCCGGGCGTTTGAGGCGCGATTTTATAGTGAGGCGTAAGCCCCAGAGATTTTTTCATTATAAAGCAAATTTTGTTGAATAAGTCCTTCATATAACATCCAAATTTTCAAAAGCCAGCTTGTAATTACTCAAAAGTTTTTAAAAAAGAACTGAAATGTCCTTTTTATTGATTGATGTCACGACCCGGATTTTCCACCATCGGGAGTCGTGATGGCGCCTACTATCGGAGCTAGGCAAGCCAAACCTTTTAAAACATTCCCTGATTTCACCTCAACAAGAACAATATAAATATAACGAGTCATTTAAATTAAAGCGGAAGTTTAACATTTCTCTACCCAAGACTGGTGTCGCTATCTCACGAACTACTAAAGAGTGCTACAAACAAGTCTGAATAGAAATACATAAATGTCTGTCTCGGTACAATGGAAACAAACTGAAAACATAGAAAGGGACTCCGGCCTGCGAACGCCAGCTAGGCTACCTCGTAAGTCCCTGGACTGAAGTCAGCTCCGACCGATATCCTACTGCTGTGGTCCAAAAGCTGCTCCGGTGCTGTGATCTGTGCAAAAGAGCACAGAAGTGTAGCATCAACACAACCGACCCCATGTGCTGGTAAGTGCCTGGCCTAACCCCTGCGAATTAGTGACGAGGCTAGACAGGACTACCAAATCAACCTGTGCAGTTCAATGTATATATATGCAATACAAGGAAAGAATACAGAAATTAAACAGTTAAGAGGAAGGGGAGCATACTATGGGGGAAAGTACAGTCCGGATATAAAATCAGCAATTTAAGTAAGAAACAGGGCAGTAACAATAATTAATGAGAGCAGGAAAAATCAACAGTTGCACGGCATCAACCTTCGTGCTTTTACTCTCATTCTCACCAAAAGCAATCAAATAAAGTGCACGGCATCACCCTTCGTGCTTTCCCTCACATAACTCTCATATCATGGCACGGAATGATCCTTCGTGCAATTTTAATCAAATCAGAGCACGGAATGTCCCTTCGTGCATAAATAATCAAAACATGGCACGGAATGACCCTTCGTGCAAATATAATCAAAACATGGCACGGAATGAGCCTTCGTGCAAATATAATCAAAACATGGCACGGAATGACCCTTCGTGCATTATACCTCTTCCTCACCCAAACACTAATCACAACCAAATGGGGCGGGGGGATAAACAAACAATAAGAAATGTCCCGGCAAGGAAAGAACATAATTAAACAGCTAAATCCCGGCAAGGGAGCAACCACAATAACTTTCACATCCCGGCAAGGGAGATAATCAATTTACTCAAACCATCCCGGCAAGGGATTAATCATATCACTTTCTATAACTTTCATTTCTTACCCAATAGTCTTTTTACTGTTCGAGCCAACGCTCCAAAGAATTTACAATTCATAATCAATCCTCATACTCTTCACATTTCGTAAGATTCATCAACTAACGGGGAAGAGTCATAANATTCCTCATTTTTCATTCTAACTTCATAAACTTCAAATTTTTGATATTTAGGTCCGAAACACGTCAAATGACGTCCGATTTCGACCAAATTTCAAAGAAAGCGCTTAAACCATATATAAGACTTGTACCGAGCGCCGGAACCAAAATACGAGCCCGATACCACAGTCTTTTAATCAATTTTCATTTCCATTTCCCTTAATAATTTCAGAAAAACAATTTCACAGAAAAATTCTTTTCTCGGGCTCTAGACCTCGGATTTCGACTCCGGGCACATGCCCGAGTCCTATATTTTTCTACGGACCCTCTGAGACCGTCAAATCACGGGTTCGGGTCCGTTTACCAAAAATGTTGACCAAAGTCAACTTTAATCATTTTAAAGCCACATTTTGAAAATTTTCACCGAATTTAACATATAATCTTTCCGGCTATGCGCCCGGACCGCGCACACAAATCGGGGCAACTAAAGGTGAGGTTTTCAGGGCCTCGTAAGCTCGGAAAAAGAGAGAAATCCGGTGATGACCCTTTGGGTCGTCACATTCTCCACCTCTAAAGCAATTGTTCGTCCTCGAACGGACAAAAGAAAGAAGTACCTGAGTCGGAAAATAGATGAGGATAGCGGCTCCGCATATCAGACTCGGACTCCCAGGTCGATGCCTCAGGAGGCTGACCTCTCCACTGGACACGCACTGAAGGAAAACTCTTCGACCTCAACTGTCGAACCTGCCGGTCTAGGATAGCTACCGGCTCCTCCCTGTAAGACATATCCTTGTCCAACTGGACAGTGCTGAAATCTAACACGTGGTCTGGATCGCCGTGATACCTCCGAAGCATGGACACATGAAACACTGGATGCACGGCTGACAAGCTAGGTGGCAAGGCAAGTCTATAGGTCACCTCTCCCACACGATCGAGAATCTCAAATGGGCCAACTAACCTAGGGCTAAGCTTGCCCTTCTTCCCAAATCTCATCACGCCCTTCATAGGCGATACACGGAGCAATACTCGCTCACCAACCATGAAAGCTACATCTCGAACCTTGCGATCCGCATAACTCTTTTGCCGCGACTGAGCCGAACGAAGCCTATCCTGAATGATCTTGACCTTATCTAAGGCCTCCTGAACTAAATCTGTACCCAATAACCGAGCCTCTCCCGGCTCAAACCATCCGACTGGAGACCGACATCGCCAACCATACAACGCCTCATATGGAGCCATCTGAATGCTGGACTGGTAGCTGTTGTTGTAGGCGAACTCTGCTAAAGGCAAAAACTGGTCCCACGAGCCTCCAAAATCAATGACACATGCTCGGAGCATATCCTCCAATATCTGAATAGTCCTCTCGGACTGGCCGTCCGTCTGAGGATGGAATGCTGTGCTCAACTGAACCTGGGTGCCCAACTCCTGCTGAACTGCCCTCCAGAAGCGCGAGGTAAACTGCGTACCCCGGTCCGAAATGATAGATACCGGCACCCCATGAAGGCGAACAATCTCTCGGATGTAGATCTCAGCTAACCTCTCCGATGAATAAGTTGCTGCAACAGGAATAAAATGCGCTGACTTGGTCAGCCTATCAACAATGACCCAAATAGCATCAAACTTCTTCCGAGTCATCGGAAGTCCAGTAACGAAATCCATGGTAATCCTCTCCCATTTCCACTCGGGAAGCTCAATCCTCTTAAACAAACCACCAGGCCTCTGATGCTCATACTTAACCTGCTGACAGTTCAAACATCGAGCCACATATGCAACAATATCCTTCTTCATCCTACGCCACCAATAAAGCTGCCGCAAGTCCTGATACATCTTCGCGGCGCCC